CCTGTCATTGGTATGATTACAGTGGCTGTCAAATATTTGTTTGGGATCAGTGTTGACACAACTACATTTTTCTTACCAAAACTGGTAAGTTTTTTACATTTGGTAGATATTTTTATTAAATGCTATGTTACCTACATTTTTAATAAACTCCAAATTGAATAAAATTAAAAACTCGATAAAATTTTGGTTGGTTTTGGTAGAACTTTTGGTAGGTAAAAGAATTAGTACGTGGCAACACTCCTACAGTTTTACGACCTCTGTTTTTTCGCGCTAAATTGCTTCCTTTTCCGCCAAAAGTTTGACAGTTGAAAATAGAAATTGCAAACGGAAGCGTCTTTCTCTGTTTGTGAAAATTTCTGCAGAATTTTAATAAAATTGAGCAAAATGGGGTCTTAAAAGAAATTTAATGTATGTATTTATGTGTGCAAAGTGCATAGTGTGTGTATGTGAAGTGTTTTGTGTTAATCCCAGAGCATCAAGCATCAGCAATGTAAATAAAAGATAAGTAAATCTGTTGTGAAAAAATTATTTGCAAATAAGTTAATCCTGCGAGTATTTCGAAAGCTGAGGTATATCTAATTTTTTTGTGTTAAATAGTATGTGTATACACTTATGCTGCTTCGAAGTTACATACATCCTTCTATGCGAAGATACATACTTATATAAGTATGCACGTACATACGGAAATTTTAAAGAAAAAGGTACGTAAATTATTATTGTTATATGAAATACTACCTAGAAGTCCGGTGCCTACATCATACTTTAATATATGTACATACATATAAATATTTAAATGAATGAATATGAAATATTGCTTGCAGTCTTTTTATCGCAATAGGTACATATCGTTACCTCAATTCAGAAAGGCCCTAAGCAACACTTTTCGAAACTGCGCTTTTCCCAGCTTTTGGTAAGATGTATTAAAATACAACTTCAATGAAAATTTTGAAGTGTTAGTACCAAAAACCGCGGACTTACGCTTTTTAAAAATCTCTACCTGTTTTTGATACTCCTTTTGTAATTGTAATTGTAATTGTTTTTTGCTGCTCCTGTAAAATAAAAAAAAAAAATGTTGGTTAGGGCCCTTGTGAATTAAGGTGACTATATTTATGTTTGTATTCTAAAATTGTTGATATTGCTGCTTAACCCTTAGCTAATGTTCTTAGAAAAGACCACACAAACTTTATTGTTAAGTAATAAAAATATATGTATGTATGTAGGTAGATCTTTTCACCAAAAACTTTTTTAGTGAAAATTATTTTAAGTTAATTTAATTTCAATTTTATTAGAAATATCTGCGAAGATCTGCGAACCACATGTTAAGAGCAAGAAAAATTATACCGAGAAAGTGATTAATTTGTTTAAAACAGGAATGGTAATCGTTTTGAGTAAAATAATTTAAATCAGCATTTAATCATTGTTTTATGATCTTTATTTTTTCCGCTCAAAAATAATAATTACACAGGTTTACATAAAAAGGGTATGCATATTTCAAGTTTATTCAATGGATTTTTCGCTACTTGACCTTCAAATGACCACGAACCTGACGTGAAGGAGGCTAACGGACCTCGGATTCGCATTCAGCATGTCGAATAACATAGGGATAAGTATGTAGGTTTGGTTTAATATGCATACACTTTTTTTTTTGTAAACCTGTGTGATTATTGAGTTTTATTTTTCCACTTAAAAATAATGATTATTTATAAAATTTAAAAGGCTATACAGAGGCAACTTACTGAAGTTTTGATCTGACAATTTTGGGACTTATTTCCTTTATTAGGGTGTCGCTACCTCTGAAAAGGATACGGCGGAAAACGCTGGTATAGCTTTTGAGATTTTTGAATGATCATTATTCTTAGGTGAAACAAATAAATCTCTTAATAATAATTATTATGCTTGAGCGAAAAAATAAAAATCATAAAATAATCATTATTTGTGATCGAAAAAATAAAAATCAAGTAATAATAATTGCCTTTGAGCGAAAAATTAAAGTCAAATATTTATTATTATTTTTAATCTTTATTAGTCAAACTCGAAAAATAAAAATTATTTCAAATTACAGAGGGACGTACGAACACAAATACGTGAGTATAGTTAAAATTTTTTTACGACGATTACAACTTGTTGATTTCTTTTTTGTAAAAATAAAAAAAAAATATGATTCATTTTTCTTGGCTTTTCAACGTTGATTCCTTTTATTGCTATACACACAAGAAAATAATATTAAATAAAAACATTTTTTTTTTAAGTTACAGCAATTATTAAAAATATTAGTAATGCTCGAAATTCCTGCCCGATTCCCTTACAGATGTCATTTGATACGTAAAAGCTAATCGTACTATGGAATTTAACGGAACGTAAACGAAATATTAATTTGAATCTAAAAATATTGTCGTGGTCTGACAGACCAACAATAGTACTTTAGGGTTAAGCTAAATTCAAGAAAAATAGGCCCACCATCTAAATATTTACGTATATATCAACGGTTGAGTGGAAGATCGACTTATCTCGGCAGCCGCTTCGAAATAACCCTATTTCAGAATTTGGCTGAAGAACGCTCTATGTCAGAATTTTATTGAAGATACCCTATTTCGGAATTCGGTTCAAAATTGTCCTATCTCGGTTGCTGTTTCAAATACGCTCTATCTCAACATTTTTTCAATATATTTCCAATTGAGATAGGGCGATTTGGTTTGGTTTAGCCCCTGAGTTTTCTGAGTGTTTATGGCGGCAAGGGCTGTTGTTGTAACGTGCACTTAATGGAACCCATGCTGATTCCTCGGTGAGGTTAGGTGGTACGTATAATGCGAGAGAAGCAAGGCCTCAAGTGTCTTCGTTACCAGGGAATGGAGGGTTATCGGACGACAAGACTCTCTTTTGTTGGTCGGTTCTTCCGGTTTGGGCCGTGTGACCACTCTCCCCGTTTTCCAGATATCTGGAACGATGATAATGGCCACTGAAAAATTGAGAACCTTGGTCGTATAGTCTACTCCAGCAGGACCCAATTTTTTCAGCATCAGCGTGCATATTTCGCCGGGTCCAATAGCTTGGGAGGCTTTCGCCTTCCCGATCGCTACCAGATCTTCCACGATGAAAGACAAAGCCACACTAAGTGTTGGCACTTTGTACATTCTTCTGGTCACTCGACGTTTGGCTTTGTCCACCGGAGGATACAGCGTGAACTGCGGCTAAAGTAGCTCGCGCATCGCTTCGGGTCGGACGAAGCACGGTTACCGAAAGAGATTTTCTCTCTGTCGTCGCGCTTGGGTTTAGGAAATTTTACTGTCGAAAAATTTTTGAGGTGCGGTGCCACCTGTTTGAAAAATTTTATTCAGTTTACTTGATATGATAAGGTAAGTATTGAATTAGTATACTTTTGAAGAAAGTGCGCGATATGTAGACTCAATTTATGAAATTATAAATTAAATTTCCACGAGAAAGCCGATAATCGACCTACTTTTTTATTTCGAAAATATACTAACTATAAACCGCCATAAAAATAAAGAATGCTTAATAAATCGAAAATTTGTTTGAAAATATCCATTTATAAAGATCTTTAAATCTGGGAGGGAATAACAACACAAAAATACTTTTAAGGCGCAGTGAAGCACGCCCGGTACCCCTATTTGCTAGTCTACAATGAAATTTCAATTTGTTAGCTTTAGTCCTAAAACTACCACGGCCATTTCTAAAGGTTTTTCGAAGTAAACAATAATCGTTCGAAACAAACATTTTTACTGAATGGGTGTATTCTTTTGGAAAATGCTATAAAATTTAACATTTTTGCAAAAACACTTTTTTTGACACCTGGCGTAGTAGTATTGTTTCGTTTTTTTTTTTTTTACGTAGCTCAATATATTCAGAATTCGCTTCGAAGCTTTTGTTAACGAGACTTTAACCTTCAATATATTACGAAGCTTTTCATGCTTAAAATTTTCTTCGTTTTACCTATACACACCATATACAACAATTTTGTTATACAGAGATTTTCGATTCATCTAGGTTGGTTATGTCGAGGTTTCACTGTACTTGTTCCTTTATTCCAATGCAACCATTTTTGTGAATGCAAATACATAGTATGCTCGTGTTGCAGTTGCATACAAATAAATAAAACCCAAGTAAGTCCAATGAATTCGAGTTTGCTTGCCTATTTGTTTTGTTGCTACGCAGTATTGGATAAATCTCTTTCAACTTCATGTATGCTGTATGCTAATGTTATCACAGATTTTTACTGGGTTTTATTCGAATGAAGAAAAAATCAGAGCAAATAAGAAGCAACAAACAAAGAAAGGTCTCTTCTATACGCTTATCTAAGTAAGTATTTAGAAGAAAGTATTCACAACAATACAACAAAACCCACAATTAATTATACACACCTTGCAGCTATGTACATACTCTACAATAAAAATCGCATTTCTCATTTTATTTGATAAAAAAGATTAACATAACAAGCATTTAAAAATACATAGTACATATTTACGTGCGATAAGGCACTGAAATAGTATACGTGTACGTCTACATAAATACATACATACGCGTTCGAACATTTTATAATGCATATGCGGGCGTATAAAATCTGTAAATCGGCTACAAAGAGTTTAATATTAAATGTTTGCTTGCCATGACACAAGTGATTACATATATTTAGTTACTATAATAATTTTCTTCCCTTTGTTTTTTTTTTTTTTTTTTTTTCTCTAAGGATCTAACAACGACATTTTTTATTCACTTATTCGTACTTAAGCACTATGTAAAGGTAAAATTTATGTATGTAGGTATGTATGTATGTATGTAAGTGTATTGAATTTTAAAATATGTAGTGTGTTCATTTAAATTACATCTCTAACTGAGTGATGATTATGCAACGAATTAATATTAATATCTAAACTTTTTTTTTTGTTTTTAATTAGTAACATATTTTAAAAATTTCGATGCGTCCTCGGCTAACAGCAATGACCTTGGAAAATGCATGCCTGTTTTGTTGGCGCAGGATCCATGAAACGCTTGGAAAATGCATAGTGTCGAGCGAGAATTTCCAGTTTGCCGTATCAAAAAAAAAAAAAAAAAACGCTCGATTCCTTTAAATTTTCAAAAATCCCAGCTTTATGGAGAAATTTATTGTCGAAACAACGCTTTCAATGAATTTTCTCAGTAAAAACTGGTCAGCACGAACATTTGCTTTTGCTTTCTGATGTCGTCTGTTCCATGGAACTGTTCAAATTAAATTTCTCGCTGTCTGCCAGATCGGCGGCGCTGATCAGCTTGTCGTTGAGTAAAATCTGCGAAAAGGATAAAAACAAAAAATTGTTTTTAAAGTGTTTTCTTCATAAACTGGTAGCCGTCCTATAAACGCTGTTTACCTTATTCACCAAAGCCCTTGCTGCTTCATCTATGTTGATATTTTCCTTGGCTGATGTCTCATACCAACCGGCGAAACCGTTCTCGCGCACATACTCATCCATTTTCTCTGGTGATGTCACAATGCCCTGCTTCTCCTGATCGCACTGCATAGTAGGTTGAGAAACAACAAATTAGAATGATATTAACAACAAATAATTTAAAAGCAATTTTTCAAAGACAAGCTTTTTTGAGCGGTTAAAAAAACCGGCCACTGCACCACCTAGCGGCTAAATTTTTTGTGAAGACTTTTCTTTTCATTTCAGTAATATAGTAAACATGCTCTAAATATGAAACAAATTGGACTATAAATACAGGTTTTGCAATACTTCGACTCCTGCGAACCCTATCGGATCATAAACCCAGGTTTTTAAAATATTTCCGAGCTAAGTTTAAAGTTTCAAGTCTCTAGCTCATCGGGAAGTTGGTAAAAATTTATAGAAAGATTTGAGTAAAAAGCACTTAAAATTTACCATATGTACCTTGTTAAAATTCGTTGTAATTTTTCTACACATTTCTACACATTCCAGGTAGCAATGAAATTTGCAGAAATAAAAAAAAATTCCCGACCTATGGCATTTGATCATAATTTCTAAAGCAAAATTTTCGGCTAATTTCGAATATGAATAGGAACCCAGAACACGTTTCAGTTTTGATTTAGTTCTGCATGAGAACAAAATGTTCTTGACATTACATTCCCATTAAAGAACTGAACGGGACAGCTGTTTGAAAGAGGACAACTGGTTCGGCAACCTTTCCGTAAAGAACAAAATGCGAACAAAACTGTCGGGAACATTCCTAAGAAGAATAGAATGAGAACAAAACTTTCGGCAATGTTTCCAATGACAACAAAATGAGAACGAAAGTATCGAGAGTACAAAAATCTGGGGAACGCTCTGTTAGAGAAAAAACGAAACCAAAGGTTTTGAGAACTTAACGTCTCCGTATTGGGATGAAAAATTTGTTGAAGTGAGAACCATGATAGTTAATTCTAAGCCAGAAGAAATCTGGATTATGTAAACTTCCAGATTGCTTATCATTAGAGTGAACTGCCCATTTATGGAACAATTTTTCATTTTCTGTATAAGAAAAATTCGTGTCTTAATAATGTCATGGAAATACCTTCATTTCTCTCTGAATAGGAACCTGGGGTTAGGGAAATGTGTCACCTCTCGACACTCACAATGAACAACTGTATCTCTGGGTGCCCTCCTATCCCAGCCTCATATCACGAAAGGAGCTCTTGTGAAGCCATGCCTATGGGCTGAGCAATATGGTCTTAGAGTGAACCAAGAAAAGGCAGAGCGAATGCTCTATACGGCCAGAAATAAGGTCGCTAGCTTTAAATTACTAAATCTAAGGGTACATATAACCGAGCGTAGTATCTGGGAGTCTTAATGGATCCTAAGCTGGGTTGGAAAATAAATGAATGCTGAATGTTCACACGTTGATATGTAATTTGCGCTACTACCTGAACATTGTTAAAGGCTCGTTCTATGTCAAGGACGACCGCCAGAGTATATATCAACTCCTCTAACGAACGTCTTAGTGAATAGTCCTTTTAGATATGCATGTTGTGCCTCAGACACAATACCCCGCGCCGGGAACCCTCTCGAAAGGTTTGAGAAAAAAGAGGGTAGGCTGTTTGGGAGAATTTTCCGGACAACTTGAGTGAGTTCTAAGTAGATTCTATGAATACATCGTCGGCACTACGAAGGACTGATGGACAGTTTTCCTTAGCCGAACCGCAAAAATCCAATTCCAATTCCAATTTAAATATTCACAATATTTTGCAAGCCATATTTTTTTGTTGTTGGTTTTGTACAAATATATGTATGATTCCTGCTACAAACAAAACCATATAAATCAAAGTTTCGAACTATGTATATAGATATAATATTAAGAAAAATTTAATGAATTTTCATTAAAATTTTAAACTTTTTACTCAGATTTTTAATAAAACTTCGGGAATGCAGTTTTATAGCTAATTCGAAATCGCGTTGATTTTTAATAATTTTTTTGCTGCCGGCTCTAGGCATTTTTCTCCATACAAGGTATGTATGAGTGAATTTTTTTTATATGGAAGAAAATATGTAGAGCTGTCAGCAAAACAAAAAAAAAAAACAAAAAAATATTAAAAACCAACGCATTTTCTTAGCCACTTCAAATTTGTACATTTTTATACTAAAATTGAATGGGCTATAAAACTGCAAACCAGAAATTTTCTTAAAAAATCTGAGTAAAAAGTTTAAAAAGTTGAGTTTTTAATTAAATTTTCCTTAATTTTGTATACTGTTTGAAACTTTGATTTATATGGTTTCATTTGTAGCATTAATCATACATACATATGTATATTTGTAGGAAAATAACAAAAAAAATATAGCTTGCAAAACATTGAATATTTAAAAAAAAATAAATAAAAAAGGGTGAAAGCAGATACATACATATGTATAGTGGAGCGAGTGTATGTATGTATTTGTATACCGTACTTATCCCTGCAAAAAATGTAACTAATCCGGGATGACTCCGGGAGCAATCGCAAAGGAGCATGAGACTAATACCACTTTTGATCTCTTTATATGGAATGAACTGTTCGCTTTTGTTCGAGCATGTCCTATGAAGAGACTAATTGTTCACCTTTATACCCGAATGGGTATAAAAAGCGACTAGTCACTTTTAAAAAATAAAAATAAAAATTTGCTCCAGCTGAGATTCGAACTGGGGTGATCAGTTTTGTTAGGCGAATACTCTCTCTGTGTGCCAACGCTGCACATGACATTTCATTGACTAAGTGCGTACATATCATTAAATCGTTAATAGTACCCGTTAGAGATGAGTTGGAGACTAATTGATCTCCAATTATACCCATAAGGGATGAGTCGAGACTAATTGAGCTCTATTAGTGCCCGTATGAGACTAGTTGCGACTAATTAATGCCCAATTGTACCCGATTGAGAGTAATCTCGGAATACTCTCTTTAGAGATTAGTCGCACAATTTTTTGCAGGGATACTATTAAACTCCGGTTTTCAGTAGAACGTATCATCATTAACTTACCTTATTAGCTAACAGTATGCAGGGTATAGGACTGCCATCCGGTAATTGAACTTTCGAATCCAAATCTTCTTTCCACTTAGTCACACAATCAAATGTGCCACTACGTGTTACATCGAATACAATGAAAGCGCCAACAGCTTCTTTATAATAGACGCGGGTCATATTGCCGAAACGCTCTTGTCCAGCTATATCCCAAAGTTGCAAACGGACGGTTGTATTTGGATCCCAATGTAGTACTTTCAAAGCGAAATCTACACCGATTGTGGCACGATAATTTTGACTGAAGAACTGATGCACATAGCGTTTGATGAAGGACGTCTTGCCGGTGCCCAATTCGCCGATGACTAGAATTTTGTACAGATGCTCACGCTTTTCTGTATTCGCCGAGGTCATAATTGTCTGCAAGAACAAAAGCAGTTACACTTTTTGATGTAGTAGAAATCGAAATCGATTTTTATATTTATATGCAGAAATATGTAGTAAATATCTTTAAAATAACAGTATTACAACAACTCAGTTAGAATTTTAATGATCACATGTTTGTGTATGTAAGTATACATTAGACCACGTCAAACTAAAAAAAAATCCTGCAATGCGAGCGGACCCCAATTGAAATTTTATTATTTGGTATAGTAAATGAAACTCCCCTCTCTACGATTATTCTAAGAGGTCGCGGATGTAGCGTTTATTTTTCCCATAGGAATAACACGCAAGAAAATGAGTTCTGATCTTTTTAGGTCAATATAACTTTAAAACTTTAGACGAAGCCCAACGATTTTTTTAAATTAATATTCGATCGAATACCAAAGCCGAATATTAAAAATATGGGAATCCGTGATACCACAAAATTCCAATATTTCGCATTTTTTTATGAAATAATTCTTCTAATATAAATTTAGATGTAAGACGTATGTATTTACATGTTTATGTAAGTATGTATGCATAACCCCAGTAGAACTTGGGAGTATCGCGCAGTGGCCCCCGCCATAGGTAAAAAAAATGTAATTGCTTTTACTTCCTAAACGAGCGATCAGGGAATACTCGCAGAAATATCATCCCATAAACCTCCTCAGAGGAGTACTCTCAGAATATCTTCCCAGAAACCTCCCAAAAAAGACAACAAGGGAGTGCACGTAGAAAAATATCCCATTTTCCTCACGAACGATCAATATGGAAATTTTGTCCCTAAAATTCTGGCAATTAAGGAATTAAGGGTATTTATCGACGACACACCAGCACAAAAGCGATACGACTATATTAAGAATAAACTTATTCTGCGGATTTCGGTACGGCATAACTATTATCGATCGGTACACGAGATGGCCCGACGCAATACCGTCAGCAGACATGACCGCACCAACTTTTGCTTAAGTTTTGACTACTAGTGACTGACAGCTCACTTCAACACTTTTTGCTGGCATTACACATTTGACGACAATGCCTTACCACCCACAATCTAATGGCATTGTGGAAAGGTGGCACCTGACTCTGAAATGTGCGCTTCTTTGCATCAACGCTGGACAGACTTCTTGCCCACAATTCTCCTTGTCTGGCGTACCGTCTACAAGCAGCATCTATGTGTGAGTTCGTTTATGGCAGCACCGTACGAATACCATCAGAATTTCTTGTTGATAATCCTAAAAATAAAGCACAGTCGCATTTTGTGGTGGAACTCCAAAAAGTTATGAACTCTCTTGGACTCGTGGCATTCTCCGACCCGTGAACTAGTGGCAATCTTCAAAGAAAATTTTCGTTCATCCGGACCTCACCACATTCAAAAGTGTTTTCGTGAGAAATTATTCGACGCGCCGATCGTTTTCAACGCCCTACGAAGGACCGTTTGAGATTTTATCCAGGTTCAAGAAGTATATCAAAATCTGAATAAGAAAAAAGTTGAAGAATATTTCCGTGTAAATCAGAACTTATCATCGCCACAGATGAGTCCTACCACATCGACTGAGACGAGACGTAGTAGCGCGAAGTACTCTTACCCAACCCTTAAATACTTTTTTATTTTATAATAGTAAACTACACTAACATCCGTTCACTCTCTTTTTTTACGTCAAACCAAGAAAACACGCGTTTTTCACAATTCAACAAAAATCATGACTTAAAAACCTTTTTTGAGTATTTTTTATAAACTATATATGTATGTATGTGCCTATGTAGATACACTGGCGATCAAAAGTGAGTGCATAGTATTTTTTGTTAAACATTTGCAATGTTTTTCAAGAGAAATTTTTTTTGTTATTTGTTTTTTATAAAAATATGGTTTATGTTTTAATCAAAACCACATAAGCTAAACTTTCAAGCTTTTTACGGAACGAAATCTAATTTTCATCTAAAATTTGAACTTTTTAGTCTGAATATTTAGAAAAATTCTGGGTATGCAGGTACATCGGTTATGTAATTCTAGTAAAAGGAGTGCAAGTTTTAAGCGGCTAAAAAATCACGTTGATTTTTAATGATTCTTTTTGCCGATGGATTTTGCGGGTTTTTTCATATAACAAATGCAATTTATAAAAAAATAGCGTTATTTTTTTTAATTTTTTTTTTTCAAACAGTCTTGCGCATTTTATTCTTCAAGAAATTCACTTTCATATAGTAAAAATTGTAAAAGCCGTTAGCAATAAGAAAAAACCATTAAAAACCATACTAGAATTAAATAACCAATGTGCCTGCGTACCCAAAAATTTTGTAAAAATTCAGATTAAAAAGTTTTGTATAACGTTTGAAAGGTTGGCTTATGTGGTTTTGATTAAAGCAGAAACCATATTTTTATAAAAAAAAATAACAAAAAAACATTGCAAATATTAAAAAAAAAAACACCATGCACTCACTTTTGATCGCCAGTGTACATATGCATGCATTTGGGAAAGGCTTATCTCCGAAAAGTGCAACCGACTCTAGTCATCAGACTCAAGGTGTGAAATGTTTGTAATGCCGCTGGGATCAAAAAGTTCGCGATTAGAACGTATCAATATAATTAAATTACTATTACTTATTTAGAATAACAAATTTTTATACGAACAAATATGTAATTTGTTACATATCAAGGTCCTAAAATCTGTATTCTCAATTGCTCTTATCATCTGCATATACATATGTACATATGTATGTATGTATACTCGTATGTATGATTGTGCGCATATGAGGGTTCGCAATTTACTACACAAATTTGAGTTTGCATTTAAGCTTTTAATCTCCAGTCTTACAAACGTATTAAGTTCACTAAGGTTTCTTTGATGAAATTATCTTTCACACTTTATTTCTTACAATTTAATTTGCATACATAAATATACTGCTGCTTTGGCGCATTAGTGCCTTTTCTCTTCGTTCGGGGTTGGTGTTGCATAATAATTTATTGGCTTAAAGACAGATTGCCGCAATAAGTGTAACTGAGTATAATATTCAATGAATGACATGCAGTCAGTACTCTTAGGTTCATTGAAGATTGACTTATAGGCCGTTAACAATGAGCACTCTTTCACTTTTTTCTTTTCTTTCACTATTCCGCCTAGCCTATTAAAATCTATGAAGAAAACATTTTTCAGTCTATAGTCATGTATGTATGTATATGTAAGTTAAGATGTGCAGTCAATTTCTGTTCTATTTGTTTTGGTGCCATTTTTTGGTAGCTTAGTAGGCTCTGAGTTAAACTGTATTATGTTGCATATAACGTACGGCCTGCGGACAGTGTGACCGCGGGCTTGTGAAAAATTGTAGCAGAAAAGATACTTAAAATGTATCAATTAGTCTGTTCCAATAGCAGTCCGGTTTACAGGATTTAGTCAGAANCATTTAAATCTTAAACATACTTACTGAATTACTTCCTAAAACGTTGTCATAAATGATCCAATAAGGAACAGATTCTTATTTTGATTTAATATTAGTATTTCATCGATATAACCACCAGCACGCTTTCTATCAAGTGCAAATATGGCTGTCAAACTATCAAATTGCCTGCAATAGATGTCAAGCAATAAGGCGGTATCCATTGGAAATATATTTTGTCACATGGTTATCACGACATTGGTGTTTTCCTGTGGAAACAGGGCCTTAGCGAGCACCGAATTACCGAGTACCAAACCCTAGTTTCTGTTATTGAATATAGCGAAAATAAAAACATGCAGCGCTATGATACTACTGTTCGTTTGTTCACATTTTGACNAGTTCGTTCAGAGAACAACAATGAACGTTTGGATGTACGTTTCCACAGGTGCACGACATGTTTTGAAATGCATAAAAATTTACAGATTTTTTTCATTTGTATTTGGAAAAGTATCAAAACTGGAAAAAAAAGTATCTCTCCAAAATTCATCGAAAAATTTATCAGTTTTGATCCACTTGGATCAAAACGGTCACACTGCCTGCGGACACCTCTAATAAGTTCGGGAACCTACTCTCTTGCATATCAAAAACGTTGTGTGCGTTGAGAAATCGCGCACCTTAAGAGACTAGAATTTATCCCTATATGCCCATTCCTTATGATAAGTATGTTGTTCCTAAATTAGACTAAAGATAAATATCTTGAAGCCCCCATTGCTATCGATCCATTTAAGGGATACTCAATTTGCTATATGTGCGTTTTTATTCGGGGGCTACCAGTCCGAAAATACAATTCATGGGGCAAAGAGGAGCAAGTACAAAAAATCTCTCTGGAATAGACAACTGAAGTTTAAGTCAAAGACCTTAGAACAATAACACAAATAACTACATATCTACATACATGTATCATAAATGGTATATTTTTTTTTTGAAAACCTCTCAAAACCGAAATGGCGTAACCCGAAGTGGGTACCCCACACAGCGCTGACAGTGCTCAACGAGGGGAACTATGGTGGTATGTTAGGCCTTCAAAGGCAACTTGTTTAAAAGGATGGGTTAATATAGGTTTAAAGCCGTGTTGAACAAAGTCAATGCGCTGTCGTCATTCGCCAGCTATTTTTGAGGGAATTTAAGGGTGATTGTAATCGCACAAAAACTGGTGCATCTTCTGCTTGTCCAATAAACGATTACTCTGAAGGAGCTTATGAAAGATCAGAGAGTGAAATTGTTCGAGAAAAGTTACTCGATAAGGATCTCAAGACAACGATTGAAACACGCGTTACATAAAATATAACCTATTAACCTCAAGTGGGCAGCCGCGCTTTCTCAATTTGGACCAAAAAAGGTAATAAAATAAACCACTTAAAGCAATGTTTGCCCATACTTGATCGACTATCTTGACCATACAGCTACTCACACTTTAGACGCGGCATTGACGTGATTCTCCTTACATGTATGAAAGTATATAGGTTGAAACCTTCACAGCATCCCACAAAAATTTTGGAAAAACCCTGTAATTATTGTTAAATTTACTCATTTACACTTTCTGCATCGCGTGATTTTTCCTCTAAAAACTAAATTCATTTGAATTCCAAACCAGTCCTTCATATTCTAATCTGCTGTGAGTTTTCAAACCTTCCGTCACCGATTCTGGCTAACACTGGCGTCGGAGGTAAATTAGCTTGACATTCAAATTAAATGAATGCCCACAGCACAAACATAGAATAAATCAAAATAGTGAATAAATGGCGGCAGTAAAAGGCAAAGCGCTCTAAAACAGTGGTCTCCATGGCAAACCATGACCACGAATTACGAGCGCAACGAAAAATATGCGATAGAAATGATAGAAAAAGGCTGAACACTTGCAGGGCTTCTTCGAATCCAATACAGACCTTTGTATGAACATATGTATACATATAGCCAGCCATACATAGACGCAAATGCATTTACTTTCCAGCAACTGTTGCGCACTTGCAAAATCACATGCCATACCCAGGCCAAATACTCGACGTACTGCTCACCCTTTTCTTAAATAAATATCTCAGTAGTTAGTAGCTTCACTCGCTTACCGGTTCCTCTTCCTGCTCCATGGTTAAATCGCCAAAAGCCGGCATCTGATTATCGCCTGAATCGTATTCTGAATCTACCGAATATTCGCTAGGTAGTCCCCCCGGATTATAACCTAAATTTTCGCGTCTTTGCAGTATGCTATCGAATGTATCCTCGTCAAAGGTGTCCGGTTGTGAAACGTAACGTATACGTCGACGGCTAGCCTCGCTGTGCGAGTCGCTACTAGGATTCGAGTCGCAGGAACTGTGATCGTGCAAAGGACTTTCGTAGGATGTGGCTTGGGGTCGTACCACACTGCCGACGGCAAAACGTACAGTTGGCTGCAAAGGAGGGCCGTGCGTTTGCTCCTCCTCACCAAAATCACTCCTTAATGCGTGTCCTGCCAAATTGGATTGCGTATATTGTTGCCCGAGTAGTCGCTTGGTTGTGCACTTTCCGCCGAAGAAACGACGTCGTCTACACCACTGCTGCTCGCTGGTGTAACTGATTCGTCAGCAATGTACAGCAATGCTTCTGACTTGTCCGCGTAAGTGTGTCGTCGTTGTCGTCGTCGTCGTCGTTGTAGATGCCTGGGTCTGGAAAAATGACTTTAGTCGATGATGGGTGACGGAAATGTGACAATGATCGAGTTTCTGGTAGTGTGCAAGCGGTGTACTCCCATGTGATGGTACGGAGGGTGGAGTGTACGAAGGCGGTGCTTGCTGTTGCTGCTGCTGATGATAAACTGACAGTGATACATTCGATTGCAACGATTGCGGAGGTGATGCGATATCGTCCACCGAGAGTTGTGGTGCGACTAGCAGTTTCTGTTGGTTACGCTGTTGTTGTTGTTGTGTTGGGTATTCGTCTTGCGACAATTGATTACTAATAGATGCGTGAGACTCTAATTGAAATTGTATCTGCTTTTGAATTGCCTCCAATGCGCCAGCCGATTCGTCCGCCTTGGTGGCAACCGCGTCTTGTGGGTCTGATGAAACGGTAGTGGCGTTTGTTGGCTTCGTGCGGTTTTCTTCAACTGTTGTTAGGGTTCCTTCATTGGCAGATTGTTCTATTGTTGGAGTTGCCGTTGGGCTTGCCAGCTTTGGTGTTACGTTACTGCGACTTGCTAACTGTGTGGCAGCCGACGCAGACGCTTGTGGCGCCGCTATTGTACCAACGTTTTCTCCCGCCGGAGTTAACGTTGTCGGACTCGGTTTAGGAAATCGATGGCCGCGTTGTAGTGGGCTTTGCGAAGTTTGCATCAATTCAGTATCGGCTTTTCTTGACTTAGCTGTCGTTGCGCTACTGCTGCCGCTGCTGGTTGTGGTGGTAGTAGCACTGCTGGCCGTGCTAAGCGGACTGGATGGCGGTTTACTTGACGCTTGACTTCTACTACCCGCCTTGGTGGCTGGGTTTTTACCGCTATTCGCTGTGCGTTGCCTCTTACCCGCAACGGTTGCTGCTATACTAACTGCACCGAAACTTGTAAGCTGTTCACGCCCCAACGATGGCGAGGTGAGTGTAGCCGGCGTGCGAGTATTGGTTTTACGTACGGCGCCGCCGGTGTTGGTCGGCGTTGTTAGATTTGCTGTTGGAGGCTGCGCGTTGGTAGCGGCAGGTAGCCGACTCGGTTTGGCAGGAGCGCGTTCGCGCGGCGGTGTATCGCGCGTACTCTGTGTGATAACGAACTTTTCGTCAGTAGTTACAGTTGTTGTTCGTGTAGTTTTTTGTACTGTTGCAGCTGTGTGTTTCTGTGTAGAAGTTGAGGGCGCAGTGCTGACGCTTCCACTTTTAGTGGTGGCAGTTGTCTTTATTATGGTCACTGCGGCTTCTTTTAATGTACCCTTCTTAGTTTTAAGCTTCTTCTTTTTGCTTAATGCGCCACCTTTAGCGGGCGATGCAACGGTGATGTTGTCTTCCGCTGGCGTCGCCGGCGTTGCTACCACTTCTGCGTCAACGCCGATTTCGTAACTTGGCTGCGCTTTATCTCCAACGGGTGTCAGATAATCCGTTTCGGTTGGTGAGCCCGTCTCTGCTGTGCCGACGTCACCTTCAGCTAACTGTTGTTGTTCGCCAGCAGCGTCTTCTTGCTCTCGCAATGCAAATCGCTGTGTTTCACTGAGTGATATTTTCACTTTACGTGTTGTACGCTCTTCGACATCTACGTGAGGCGATTCACCGTCATCTGCGTCTTCAAATGGCGCCACTTCCTGACTGCCCTGTACTACAACTGCTTCGTCATCTTCGTCAATGCTTTTCTTAGCACTGTGTTTTGATTTCTTTAAACTGCCTAGCAAAAAGCGTCTGGCTAGCTTGCTTTTTTTCTTGGGTTTCGCCTCTGACGACGCAGTGGCATTGGTGTCGCCAGTTTCTTCTCCGCCGCTGGAGAAAACGGTTTCGGGCGCCGATACGATTTCAGCAGATGTACCGCCAGCTATCGAACTTTCTGTGGAGGTATCTTTAGACGATGCACGTTTCTTTCTGCCCGAAAGTTTGCGCAATGCTGATGTGAAGCGCGAACGTGCCTTACTTTTTCGTCGTGTTTCAGGATCCGATTGAACACATTCGGGATTGTTAGTTCCAACTTGAATGGCTGAACTTGTAGGATCAGTAAGTGGGGTGGTAGTTGTTTTATCAAAATCGCTCGAAGGCGTAGCAGAACCGACTTTTGCTAAATCCAAATCATCCGTACGAATATCTGGTTTGGATCCAACGTTTTGCATAGTACAAATGCTCCAAGTACGCCGTCTACTTTCCGGTTAAAGATCCAGCGCACCACCACACTGGCTATGTCAGTAATTATTCGCCAAGAGCTAAATAAAACTTGATAATTTATTTAGGTTAAAAAAAAAAACAGAAAGAACTCAGCTGTTCTCAGCAAGCAGCCACTCAACGACTTAAAGTTGAGCAATATTGGATGCGCGTTATTTTCGTCAAAAACCCCGCTTAGAATTTTCTTTCTTTTTAATTGTTTCCGATGGTCACACTAAGTATGAGTGAGTGAGATTTTGTTTCATAAATTTTTGCACGTTGCACTTGTAGGGCTTCTTTAATTGTTTCTAACAAATCTATCGAAACACTGGAAAATATTTCCGATTATTTTTATATGTATGTACATTCAAACTCATTTCACATTTGCACACAATTTGTACACTCTTCACACCCGCAACACGATATCCTTAGAACTTCATTTCATAACCAATCAATACATCCTTTCAAAATACTTGACTAATTGGCGTTGTTAATTGTTGTACCTATTTAGTTAAGCACTACATCTTCTTCACTGTTCACCGGTTCTTTGCCGCTAGCACAAATCAGCAATCTCAGTCTCAACCACCATGCAAATTCGCACTGAAAATGTTGTATTGTTCTGTTGGCTTTTATAAAGTTTTTTACGATTGTTTAGTACAAGTGCAGGCATGCTGAGAGTTGAGCAGCAAAATGATGTGCGCTGTGCACGGCTAGCTAGCTATGTAGTCGTCAGCGTAAACCAACCGCAAAATGTTACAGGTGCCAGCTGAGGGGATGGATGATAGGTGCACTAATTCATCGACATGTGCTGCAGCACCAAGAAGCGGGTGGTTTTTTATTTCAGCACTTACTATGCTATACTTTGTGTCTATTTACCTGTCAACGTAGTCTTTAAGCCATTCAGTACTGCGTTAGTAAATGCAATGTTACACGGTAAAAAATTAAATGACAAATATTCTCAGTTCTTGAGTTGGAGGAGCACCGCCGTTGGAGACACCCGCCTTGCATTGAGTTTGGGGAGCCCATTTTGATATGTATATATGTGCACACTTACTCACATATTTTTTAGAGAAAGAGTTAAATTTTAACATTTGCGCGACAGTCATCCTAACAGAGCACACTAACCTGCAGAGAGGTACTGTGAGGAAGTCTTATTCTAGAGGCATGAAACCTGTGATAGTTGGTCTTTAGTCTTTTTACCAGGTGAAATGCCTTTAATCTGCTATAATCAAGGTAGCACGCGCTTTTTCATACCACCCTGAAAGCCTGAATTCCTGACCATCTGAGAACATATCCCACTACCTGTAATGAATCGTAAGTTCTCTTAAGATCGACAAGGACTTAGAGACAAAGAAGGCACTACACTGCTCAGGAATATAAAGGCTTCGGTTTAGAGTGAATTGATGTTGTCACACAAAGGGGAGGAACCTAAAGTTCTACGCCGATTCCGAATGGCGATTGTATTTTTATGAGAAGCTGTTTTTCATGGAAAATACACTCGGAGGGGGACCGCTATTACAAAAAACTGTTTTAAGTATTATTTTTTTATGTTGGTGGGAAACTGGTATCGAACCCACACCCTGCGAAATGGTAATGCGCACTGCCATTCCACAACACAGCGGCCGCGTATATATGTGAGTACATAGACTGTATAATTATTGTATTTGTGGGCATTCATCAAGAGTTGTCTTTATTCTAGTAATCCGCCATAAATAAGGGCGCGTAATGGTTCTGGTGGTTGATCTAAGGTTGGTAATTTTACTTTGACCGCTGCACTTAACTCAATGCGTGTGTCTCCCAATAAAACTTGAATGCATTGTAATATTGGCAAATCACATCCATTGGGCGAATCATAACACAGGATACATACATATGTTCATGTACTTACTGGTGCAGCGGGTCGATGCAATCGGGTATTCACGACACTTCTCACTTGACGCAGATTGTAGCACAAGAAATGCAAGCGTTCTCATTTTATATTTTTGATCAAAATTAAATCATATCTTTTTCATATCTAGCGTCTGTAAATGGCATCGCGAAGAATTTACAAAGCACTCCAACCTAACCTAACGTGCATAATATTATAGTATTGATACAGTTTTGAACTTGGGCAACTATTTCATTGCAATATTAGGATTCAAATTTAAAAAAAAAAGTATTCTTTAGCAAAAACCAAAACCGACTTCAATTCTCGTATAAAAATTTAAGAGTACCGTTAATTTATTCATGATCCAATGGCAGAAAACCTTTTCTTAAGAAAAAATAATTATAGAAATCCGTTAACGTATTCTAAAGTTATGCGGCAACATATGTACATAAACGAATTAAAAAAAAATAATTGATAACCTCCTCCTTTTTTTTTGAACGGTTAAAAATGCAAAATTCTCTACACAAAATCTAAGGAAAATCAGTTTCTACAACACGAAGCAATAGACAGCTCAAATAGGGCGATCCGTTCTAGATTTATGCTGTAAAATACCTTTAATATAATCGATTTTAATAACAATAAAAAAATTAAGCGCACTTATTTTGAAAACTTTTAAAATTCAAGTGTAGTTATAGTTGTATCCATCTAAATAAAAGAATTTTCTTACATGCTCGTACTAAATATTGAGCAAAACGTGAGGTGAAATGAAAATCTGAGTTTCACTCATTCTTACCTGTATCTTTTTTCTACTCATCCCTCTTCCCCCTAAAATCTAAATATGTACATATGTTTGTATGTACAATGTATGTATGTAGTCATATAGAGTTGTGTATACATACATATTCCTATGCATACATATGGACGTTTACGCATCCATACCTATATGCATTAGGGTGGTCCTTAAATGCAGGAAGTAAATTTTTACATCAGATTTCCGAAGCCTCAACCCCTACGTCGATGATGTCGATATTCGAAGACAACACATATAAATTTTGGTCCCGATTAGTGACGGTTAAGGCGTGTCTCACAGGGGTCACACTTCAGATTACCCTATGAAAACGTCTTAACCGACTCCAATCGGGACCAAAATTTATACGTGATATCTTCGACTATGGTAGTATCGATTTTGGTTATTAGATGGAGAAAAATGAATTTAAATTTTTTGAGTCTCTATTGAAGAATCCTTAACCGTCTCCAATCGGAACCAAAAGTTGTATGTGATATCTGTGGTCGTCGTATTACCGATTGAGGGAGTGAGACTGGAAAAAAATCGTTCATTTGATTTTTATAAGGACCACCCTAATGTGCATACACTTCCACACTACATACAAACGTACATATATGTATTGCAGTAATTAGTGCATCTCAGTGCAACTGATTGTTGGATTTGGAATAGCCATGAACACGTGCAAGGGACAAAATGTAATATGCATAACAAAAATATTTGTTTATCAATATAATCAATTCAGAATGCTTATCACTTTTTTATTAGGATTTTGGTTTCGTTTTAGAAATACCGCCTATTTATTGTAAATAATTGACATCTCTGTATGAAAAAGTCGGACGATCAATGAAAATCGGCATTAGCATCATTCCTTTGGCGATAGAATGTAAGGTCAACAAATTAATGTGAAGCGAATGAGTAAGCAATTGTTTTGTTGGGATGTAACACATACGATAGTGTGTAGATCTCATTAAATTAAATTTTGTTTACGCATTCGAATTATTTTGTAAGTAATTGCATCAGTAAAAGCTTATAAGTATATACATATATATATATATGTATGTCTATGTTTTCAAGTAACTTTACTCCAGAGTAATGGCGAACTTGTTATACGGCGTTTCCACGATTCGTAATTCGCTCTTTCATTCGTCATTCGCTCCCCCATTCGTCATTCGCCTTGCCAATTACCTTCCGAATTACGTAAGTAATTCGCCATACAAAATTTTGAGAGCGAATTACCTCATTTGTAGGTAATTCAGATCGAATTACCATGCGAATGACGACCGAATCGGTTCATTCTCTAATATTAATCGGAAATATATCGAAGTTTTCATCGGCCTGGTCCCATTTGCTGGCACTTCTTCTAGTTATAGAATAATATTAATAAAATATTCTCCATCTTCGATATTTGCAGTACACAAAAATAATAATAAATGGCGAAGAACAAGAACAAGAACTAGAGCTGCCGAATGAATTACTAAAGTGTGTCGTGGAAACAGGATAATTCACGAATTACTTAGCGGATTTCTTAGAGAGCGAATTACGAATCGTGAAAACATCGTATTAGTATCCTACAGCGTAAACTGGGAATTATGTAATATCGAACTAATGATTTTTTACAAATATCCTCCATTGACTAGACTAAACTTTCATTAGTTGAAAAGTAATGTAATATTGTATATTTAATCTACGCTTTTATACTTGGCAAGAAAATAATGAGGAGATCGTTCTAATGTGGATTGAGTTTAAGCTATTATTGCGGGTTAAGCCCAGGCTATTGGTTCGTTCAACAAATTACCTCCAAAGCCCCAAAAGCCTTCTGGAAATCCAAGCAAGTCTTTGGTAAAACATGGGGTCTGTCACCTGGAGGAGTCCTGTATATTTAAACCTCTATTAGGAGAGCTATTTAATTATTGTCGAAACTCAACCTCTTTCTAGTGTTGGAAATATCTCTATAAACAATGTTTTTTGTCAAAACTCTTTATTACTGAAACAAATTGTCCAAGCCTGAAGTATTTTCCAACCAATTTTGAAACCATAAAAACTGCTCTGGAAGATGCAGAAACAAAAAAGACAAAAACAAAAATAACAATAGGAATGAAAACAAAATGTTAAAAAATTAAATCCTCACGTAACCTGGACCACACTACTTACTAAAGTGATTAATTTCTAGTCCGTTTCATATTCCAAAAATTTGCTTTAAAATTACTTAGCCTCACCGCCCGCAATGGCGCCACTATTGCAAGAGAAATTTACTATCGGGTAGTATATTCTCTTAAACGGCTACTGTCAAAATTTCAGTCGAATCGGAGTCACAGTTTTATTTTGACCGCGTGTGGAAGCGGGCGTGTCCGCGGATTTTAGAAAAAATGGAAAAAGATCAATATCGGTCGGTGATTCGATTCTTGTTTTTGGAAGGGCAATGGCGCAGCGAAATCAAAGAGCGCTTGATTGCTGTGTACGGTGGCTCTTCTCCCTTCGATGGCGACCGTCAAGAATTAGTTTAACGAGTTGCGACGTCGTCGCACGTCGGTTTTTCAGAGCAGTGTTTGAATAAGTCGAATTGGGCTACGAACTGCTGCCCCATCCACCGTATTCTCTAGATTTAGCCTCGCCCGACTTCGTTTTGTTTCGGAACTTGAAAAAGGCACTCGCCGGTCAGAAATTTGAATTGAATGTGGAGGTTATCGCCGTCACGGAG